TTAGAGTGAGTTGAAGACCTTGGAAGAAAAAGGTAATGACACTTGTATTTTAATATTGAATTCTAGAATATACTAAATATCCAGCCCTGCGTGGAGGATGATCAATTTTAATCTCAAGTGAACTGACAGTGATTACTACTCTTAAACACATACATGTCTGATAAAATCCTGGTAACAAATACCACATGTTTTCCACAGCACAAAAATGTAAAGCTTCCACAAATGATTTCATTTAGTTACACGGGTCTGAGCAGTTATCAGAGATTTTTCAAACATTTTACCTGATTCAAAAGCAGGTGATCTCAAAACAACTGAAGGCCCAGCAAGTAGGAGGGATTTTTGCCTGGTATTGTAAACATTTTGCTTCGTAATAGGTGGTTATTTTTTCCATGTTTTATTTTCATTCCTGTCACTACCACACACAGTATTTTTTTTTTCAAAACAGCACTTGCTCTGATCACTAAACTAAATGTCTTATATTAAAAAGAATAAATGATATCTTAAAATGTTTAATCCACCCAATTGCTTAAAGAATATTATCTTCGATGATGTTTATTTTAAGATTTTAAAGAATAATCAATTTTTATAAACACCTTACCTTTTACTTACAATAGATAGTTAAATATGTTAGCAGAAAATAAATTCTCTTAATTATATCCAGGAAAATTGGCCACACTGAAAGACATTGGATAATTACTTTCAAAATGCTAGCTATGTAAAAACGGCAGGAGGAGGAGACTTCAATCGCAAGGGAAAGAAGCATCAGACGAGAGAAATGTGGACACATGTCAGGCAGACAAGTCAAATAAAGGATGCTTTATGATAGCATAGAAAATGAAAGTCAAATTTCTCAATCTTATAGTAATTGCTAAAGGACAACCAAACAATTAAAAGGTAGTTGTGAATATTTCCAAATGTCAATTGCACACAATACAGGCATTGGATATTTTCTAAACTTGTTCATTCTCCGCTTCAATCTTCAGACAGTTTCTCATGAAATCATTGTTAGTTATTATTTTTATTCCTCCTCCTAGGATATATGGGTCCAAAAAAACTTTATGACTGATATGGAATGTTTCCTGAATCATCAGAAGTTAATTTTGATATATTTGTATTAGTTTAGTCAGTACATAAACTTTGAAGTTGTTTAGGAAAATAAGTAAATACTATGGTTAACTAGCACTAAATAACATTTCTTGTTAAATGAGACATTGTGAAATACATTAAAATTAAAATATTTACTATAATTTATGCATATATAATTTTAGATACATAACTATATATATATAATTTTAGATACATTTCTGACAGGAAGCAGAAATAATATGGCAGGCACAAGTATTTACTGTTTGGAGAAGGACACGAAGGAAGAGGGGAGTGGGTGTTGCAAACCATGTGCTAAGCATATAATATAGACTTGTCAGAAACCTTAAAAAATAGCTGAACTTATAAAAGTCTCATAATATCATGTAAGCACCTGTGCTTACTTATGGGCACAAAGTCACCTGATTCAGCCACAAGGATTTAAATTAGGGCCCTTCGAGGAAGCACAGCACAACTGAGGCTGTGGCAGTTTTATTGAGAGCTATCAGAGATTTCATACATTTATCTGAAAGAGGATATAATGGCAATTTGCCAGGGTCAGTACTGTTGTAGCTTCTAGGAAATAGTGAAGTTTGAAAGGCTCACGGTATTCACAAAATTAATGTCTAAGACCAATTGTCTTGTCAAGCTTCTATACTTCCTTGACTCCTAAGCGAACATACAGAGAAACATTAAGTGGCCTGAATATTGCACTACCTGAGAGAATGCATTGGTCTCTTAGGAACTGGAAGGGACGTTGTATCCCTGGAGCCATGGGCTGTAACGTGAAAAGGCTGGGACGCATGCCTCTCAGGGCAGCTAAGTCAAGCCAGCTCCATGGTTTCCTATGATATGGCAAGGAGTTTTCTGGAGAGCAAATTAGTTGTTCATTAATTTCTTTATTTTCTAGCTTGGCTTGCTTCTGCCATTGTATCCACTACATCCGACACCTTCTGGAGACGTTATTTGTCCATAAAGTTTCTGCAGGACACAGTCCTACAAAAAACTTGATAAAGGTGAGAACTGAGACATGTTATGGTTTTTTATTTTGACTACGAAAAAAACAAATAGTAATGCATTGCATCATTGTGTTAGTTAGGGTTTTTTATCCTCTGGGAAGGGGACCCACTATGACTCAAAGCAACTTGGGGAGCAAAGAGTTTATCTCACCTTCTATTTATTAGCCTATCACTGAGGGGCTGCCTGGAGACAGGAACTAGAGTAGAGGAGGTCAAGGGGGAGTGGTGCTGATATTTTGATATTCCTTGTTTGTGCAGCCTGCTTGGTTATGTGCCCATGACCACCAGGACAGGAAAGCCATGACTCATAACAGCATGGGTTCGCCCACATCAGTCACTCATTAAGAAACTCTCACTCAGACTGGCCTTCATCCAAATCTTATAGAGACATTTTATCAATGTACGTTCTTTCCATGTACATAAATCTAGCTTTTGTCAAGCTGAAAACAAGCAATCATCAACAAAGCAGGACCATCTTCTATATGATAATCACCTTTTCCTTAAAGTTAGGTTTTTCTCTTCCTTAGTTGAGTTAACATATATCAGACATTTTCCTTGGGTTTTATTTGAGCCTTAATCTTAGTTAACCTACAGGGAAAGGCCTTTTAAAAGCATAGTTTTAAGTAGATCATGCATGGAAAGGTCTTCACTATGAGCACTGACTCAGATTCCTTAAAACTATTTGAAAAGGAAAAACCCACAAAGTAATGTGTAGATATAGCTACCAGAGTGATGCTACTATCCACCATGTGAAAAAGGAAAAAAACCGTGTGTCCAATGTTAAGAAACTATCAAGAAAATGAGAAAGTTTTCAAATATTGTATTGAAAACAGACATTAGGAAACACTACGATTCAAGTTTTCAGTTTGATTTCAAATGTCACTTATCTTTCCACTGGAATTTTATTATTAAAATGGTATGAAATTCTTACCACAAATACTTCTTTCATGAAAATATCTATAAAAACTCTTTATTCTTTCATTGTTTTAAATAAAAAAATGAATTTTAGAACGATTATACAGTCTTGTTTTGAGCTATCAATTTGTAACAATGCAGAAAGTTTTTGAGCCTCTTTGATCAAATATGACACTTTCTTTTACAATCAGTCAACATATGCTTGTGTTAACTATGGTCATCATTGTTTTATTTAGTGTTAATACTCTGCTATAGGTCATTTCTCTTTGTTCATTAATATCTTCACGAAAATGAATCATTCTTGATAAATAATTATAAATTATCAATCTATACTTGAACATTGTCTCAAATACTCATTAATATAGAAACAAAATCATGGCACTAAGTTATATGTTTACTCTCATAAAGGTAATAAAATGTAGCTTTAAACTCTGCCTTATGGTGTGAAGAAGCATTCCATGTATCCAGTTCAGGTGCTTTATAAAAATAAGCTGCAATAGCTAGTACTGCGGTTGGAGAGACAAAGTCCTGTGGACCCCTCACTGACCTGTGGTACTGATGATAGGCTCAGCAATGGTTTTAGTTCATTTTTGGCAGTCCATAATCTGTGAGGACATTCCTGCATTGTCTGTATTATGTGAGGAAAGCAGCATCAAACAGACTTCCAACCTTCCAGTTCTTTTTTTTTAAATTAAATAATTTATTTTTAAAAATTTCATTTTACATTCCAACCACAGTTTTGCCTCCCACGCCTTTTCTAGTTCCCCCTCATCTCCCCTCTGTCCCAACATGCCCTCTATCCACTCCTCCCAAGGGATTGACTCCCATGGTGAGTCAACAAAGTTGGCACCTTAAGTTGGAACAGGACCATGCCTTTCCCCCTGCATTAAGACTGAGCATGGATTGCCATAATAGGAAATGGTCTCCATTAGGCCATCTCACACACCAGGGATAGATCCTAGGCCTACTGCAAGGTGCCTCACAGATAGTCTAAGCTTCATCACTGTCTCTCACATATGGATGGCACACTGATAGGATTTGCTAAAGAATGTAAAGACAAAAAGATCACAAGTTTGAGGCCAGCTTGGCCTATACATATTTAAAAATTATACTTTCAGGGATTATTTCTATAGTTTGTTACCTTCCGTTCTTACATTCTCAATACTCAAAATTCAGTGTAAGTCTCTGAGACTTGGAAGACATGCTATAAATGTCTTGTTCAGAGACAAACCAATCAAGTCTTTGTAATCCCTCACATTGAACTCAAAGAAAAGCTTCTCTGAGTAAGGGCATAACATTTCTCTGAGGGTAAAAACATAAATGTTTAAAAATCAGCACTGTACCATGACGACTTAATTAAAAACTAATGTTTTAAAAATTTACCTATATTAAATTCACCTGAAGACTTCCTCCGGTACCAGGTTTTGACCAGGTGTACAGTATCAGGCATGAATTCCCATGATTGTAGACTGAATCTGGGGAGAGGCAGTCATTTTCTTCAATTTTGTGCCCACCATCACTATGACACGGATGATCCTGTTTAATCTCAGTGACTCTTCAAAAATAAAAAAAAATAAAAAAAAGGATTTAGACAGGAGAAGGGAAGGGTTCTTAGATGAAACAGTATCTATGGGAGAGAGATTAAGAGGATGAGGGGTTAAAGTAAGCAGTGGCTCTTTATACAGGTAAGAAATTTTCAAAGAACTAAAGCAATGAAAGTCATTTTCAAATGCTAAAGTGAACGAGTAAATGCAGGGGTACATTAAAATAATGTATTGTATAATGTATCTTATATAACTTTTTTTGTTTTATTTCTAGGGATGTGCATTTTATTGGGGATTTACTTCTTGGATTGCTTATTATATTAATCACCCAAGATATACACCACCATGTATGTCCAATTTCTTTTTAACTAAACCCATGCTAAATTATCAACATCTGTGCTTTGTTATTGATTCCATAAAAATTGAATGTCCTATACTTAACAGAAAAATTAATAAAAATATCAATTTTTCAATTTCTTCCATAATTTACTAAAGTTTCATGTAGGCTTGAAAGACAAAATTTGGCTGGCATTGATATTTTCTCTCTCTCCAGGAACTCTTTATTGCTTCAAAAACATATGCAGTGAACTGATAAAAGCAAAAATTTGAAGAAAAGTATAATCACTGAGTTATTAAAGCTACTAAGAAAGGAAGAATGAGTTTCCCCAAGGAACGAATCCCATGATAGTCTACAAGTAGTCAGCCTTAAACACATGGACATATAAGTAGCACTAAATAACTCTAGTTTATGTGTGTATTTAAACATTCTGACTACACACACTATATATATATATATATATATATATATATATATTGTGTAGCATATATATTGCTATACAGGGTTTAAATATATAATATATATTGCTTATGGTATATGTTTGTGTATGGATATTGTCTTAGTAAGGGTTTCTCTTGCTATTACTAGAGTCCATGACCAAATCAACTCTTTTAAGGGACAATATTTAGTGTGGAGGCCTACAGTTTAGAGATTCCATCCATTATCTTCATCCCGTGACATGACAAATTGCGGCAGACAGGGTTCTGGGGTGGTAGCTGACAGCTCTACACCTTGCATAGGCAACAAGAAGTGATCTGAGCTGAGACACTGGGCATGGCTTGAACATAAACGAGACCCCAAAGTGCACCTCCACAGTGACACACTTTCTCCAACAAGGTCACGCCCACTCCAACAAAGCCTTGCCTCCTAATAATGTCATTCCCTTGGAGACCATTTTTCTTCAAACAGCTGCATTTTCCTCCCTGGGCACCAAAGACTTGGAGCCATATCATAATGCTAAAATGGAAGTAGCCAAATGTCAAAAGTCCCCATAGTCTATCAGAGTCTCAAAAAATGTTTAAAATTCATAGTCCAAAATCTGTTCTGAAATTCATGCAATCTCTTATAATGTAATCACCTATAAATTCAAAAAAATCATCACATATTTTCAACATGTAATGGCACAGGATCTACATTACATCCCAAAATGTAGGGAAGGGAGCATTTGCTGGAAACACTGATGGGAGCAATATATAAAACCAGGTGTAAAAATTCCAAACTCTGCACTTCGTGTCTGCTGTCAAAGCATGCCTCTGACCCCTACTATTTTCTGCTTTGCTGAGTGCAGCATAATTCTTTCTCTTGGGCTGTTTCCACTCCTTGCTAGCATCTTTCTTGGCAGGTATCCCATGACTCTGGAAATCCAGGTTCCTCCATACAGAGACACCCCTGGCCTAAACTGCTTTCCTTGGTCACAGAGAAATATTCTATAGCCCCCATTTTCTTTTCTATCTGTAGAGCGAGCACCATGTGGCCCACGTTGACAAGTTCCGTTATTTGCTGGGACTGGAACATACCCTCCTTGTTTATATAGATTTTCACCAGCTTTCTGTTCTCCGTGTTTACCTTCACTACCTAAGCTTGGCTCTCCTGAAACTTGCTCTGTAGACCAGACTGGCCTCAAACTCTTAAGATACGCAAGCCTCTGTCTTTGGAGTGCTGGCATTAAAGGCCTAAACCATCACACCTGCCTCTAAGTGCTTCTTTAATTTCTTTTTGTAAGTGGGAATTTCAACTTGGTGGGATCTCGCCATGAGGTCTTTTTATTCCATTTCTTAATCTGTTTATCTCCTTGAACACAGCACCTAGCTCCATTCTACTCCCTGGTGTTCCTACTCTTCAAATTTTACATTTTGCAATTTGCCTTGCACTGCTTGCTCCTTTTCATTATAAATCTTCATTAAAGTTACCACTGTTAATAACACTACAGAGTCTATACTAGGCTGTTTTGAGATTTCCACTGCCAAATTAATTAATCCAAAACACTACACTCTAGCCTCAGGCAAACTCTTCAGACAATGGCAAAAGGCAGATGCTTTCTCCGTAAAACTATCGCAGGAATGATTTTTAGGCAACATTTTAAATTCTTCTCATTTGAAACCTCGTGTGCCAGCTCCTTACACCCAAATATTTTACAGTACCATTGCCTTCCGTAACCATACTAGTATGGCCTAATGAGCATTGATTCAAGAATTATACTGCTCTCCTAAATCAAAGTACTAACGTACACATTCCTCCAAATAGAATTACAGTCAGGCCTATGACAGAAATACCCACATCCCTGGTACCAACTTCTGTCTTATTCAGCGTTTTTAGTGCTGTGAAAAGACACTGTAACCACGAAAACTCTTATAAAGAACAACATTTAATTGTGTGGCTTACAGTTCAGAGTTTCAGTCCTTTGTCAGTTTGGTAGTACATGGAAGCAGGCAGGCAGACATGGTGCTGGGAAAGTACTGACAGTTATACATATTACACAGGAAACCAGAAGTAGTCTGAGAAACTGGGTGTGGCTTGAACATACGTGAGACATCAAAGCCCACCTTCACAGAGACACACTCCTCCAACGACTCCACACCTTCTAATAGTGCTACTAGTGACACATCCTTTGGGATCTCATTCTTTTTCAAAGCACCACATATATAACATTATATGTGTGTGTATGTCATATAAATAAATATATGTATATGACCTCCACATGCTCATGAGTTAGTATACACCCTTCAACAAATAAATATGTTTAAAATAATAAAAAAATTAAAAGCTCTGTCTCCTTCACTTGTACAACAGTACAGACTACAAAGCACACTCAAAATTTATATAATTAAAATATAAATATGAGAGGTACATGATAAAAGAAATATGATCATTTTCATTACATTGTTAAGCAGCAGATATGATATTTTGCAAAGTATACTATTTCTTGAGCAATGTTTTATATATATAAATGAAACTTAGCAATGAGTTCTTAGGAAAATGACAACTTAGCAAGATGCATTCTACTTTAAAAGTTCCTACTAAAACATATTGATTTTACATTTTATTCATTTAAAATATTATTAGAATTCAAAGAAAAGCAAACACATGAGTAAAGAACAATAATTTAAATATTTTAAATTTCAAATGTACAATATTAAAAATAAAAAGCGTACGGCAATCTTTTTAAATAGAGGACTGATGGATCCTGAAATGTCTGTACAGTGTCTTCAGTATAATGATCTAATAAGAAAGCTTACTTGCCTCCCATCTGCTTTCTCTTCTTTACAGCATTTGGAAACAGACAAATAATAGTATCTGCTATCAATTTCCTGGTATGTATTAAAAGTGATGTTTATTGATATTTTAAATATTTTGATTGGAAAAAAGAATATGAAAATGCATCATAAGGAAAATTTGTATGTAGAAAATGTGTTTAACTATGTAGAAAATAACAATTTCATAGTACATATATTTTACACAAATACATACAAATTGGAGTAAAACAAACTTTATATAATTTACTGAGAAGTTGTTAAATTTTCCTATCAAAATTCTGCAGTATAAAATTAGGATCCATGATTCTTATCATATATACATTTATAAATTTATACACTTCTCAATTCAAACATTTTCATAAGTATAACAGATAAATATTAAAAAAATTCATTAAGTTATTGACTTACTGATTCAGTATGAAGAAAAATTTTGCATCTGTTTGATTTAATTAGTGGAAGCAAGTATTAATCCAGGGATTGACTCTTTCTAGATTGTTCTCACCATTCTTTCCTTCCCCATCATTTCATGTAGAAAACATGCTTATTTACTGAATTATATACACGTTTATATGAGCATGTAAGAGTCCTTCTTTTTCTAATAAATCAGTACAGCAAACAGTACTAATATGTTTATATTAGCTTTACTCTTGTGACAAATAATGTTAGGTTTTATCTTATAGGTGACTATGTTTGCACATAGTAGGATGCCTTTATTTACTCTATAATATTGTATATCATATACTTTTTAGAAATATTTAATATTGGTGAAATACATTAAGACATTTAATTATCATAGTTGTGCATGGTCCAGGCAGAATAACTCTGCAGCTTCATTTTTTCTTGTTTTTGTAATGTTTCATGATTACTCAGAAAATTTTGGCAGCGTTCANAAAAAACAAGGAAAACAAATATTCCAACTCTTACTTAACTTTGGGCTCTGATGGGTTCTTTTGTTGCTCTCTGGTTGTTGCTCTGATTTTACTCGTTCCTCACACTGCATTCCTCTGCTGTCTGAACCACGTTTACAATCTCATTTTGGTTTGATTTGTACCACTACCTTTAGGTCCTGTTGTTGAGTTATTAATTTCCTCCAATGTGCTATAACCATGTACTCATTTTCCCCTTTGCATCAAATGAGAAAGACACATGAAAACATAAAAATTTAAAGTTAGAGCCTTTCTAAATTTTATATCAAAACCAAATTATAATTAATATATAATACAACATAAGCAAAATTCCAAAAATTTGAAACTGATTTGTTTTTCTATTCATGTATATGCCAAATATTAATGTTTTCATATACATTTATCAATGCTGTTTGAAGTACAGTCTTGGAAAAATTTAGCAAAGTCCAGGAAGCTAATGTGTACTCAAGCAGTGCTTGTAGCAGTAATAAAATCTAGTAGAAATGTGGTAGAGAGAAGCAAGGTGACTATAATTTCACATTTATGAGCAGGTGACAGTTATTTTCTGTTTCAATTGTATGAAGATTCAATGATTTTTTTTGGAAAGCTGAGATCTCTGGATTTAAAGATGAGTGTTAAGATTGTTGTAGAAGGCCGGGTGAAGGTGGCGCACACCTTTAATCCCAGCATTCGGGAGGCAGAGGCAGGCAGATCTCTGTGAGTTCGAGACCAGTCTGGTCTACAAGAGCTAGTTCCAGGACAGGCTCCAAAGCCACAGAGAAACCCTGTTTTAAAAAACAAAAAACAAAAAAAAAGATTGTTGTAGAAGGTCGCTTGTTTATTTCCCTGCTGCTCAGACTCCTGAAATAACCACTGTATTAATTACATCACTGCTTGACCTATTATCTCTACCTTCTTATTGGCTAGCATTTACATCTTATTTTAACCCATTTCCACTAATCTGTGTCTCACCATGTGGTTGTGGCTTACCAGCAAGTTTCGGCGTCTATCTCAGGGTGGCTCTAAGGATACTCTATACTCAGCCTTTCTTCTTTCAGTATTCAGTTTAGTTTTCCCCACTTAGCTCTTAACTATCGTAAGTGTAAGACACTTTCTTTATTAACCAGTGGTATTAACAGCATACAGAGAAGAATCCCACATCATAAGATGAATTTCAAACAGAAAAGAATGCCTTTGTTAGCAAGCAGAAATAATATTGGAGACATTTTATAATACTTCTTAAAATTGAAAACAATTAATGTAATTTTACTTAGCAGCAAATGATAGTTTGCAAGTGAGGCATATCATCATTGAACTTCTTGCAAGCAATAATTATGGGGAAGAGAAAAATACTTAATGGCCCAGATAAATTTATGAATGATTGACACTTACCATATGGATTTAAATTTTGCAAACGTTTGTTACTCAGATACATTTTTGGTAACAGATAATAAACAAGATATAATGCTTACAGATTTGATCAATCTTGAATATGTCATCTACATCCCGAAGTTCTACATATATTATAACATAACTGGATAAATTGAAGATATTCATTTATAAAAATGAATTAAAATATGTGTGATTATTTCTAATTTTAATATGAATGTTGTATGTGTATTTTATTTTTGAAGAAACTACAACTCCTTTTAAAGACAGATCATTGTAAGATATCTTTCATTAAACTAACAGAAGATCATTCAGTTAGTTATTATGCATGACAATCAATGCAGAAATAATTATAAGCTCCAATAATGTGTATTTAAATTATAAATATATACCTCAATCGTAGGTACTAAGTTTTTTTCATAAAAGTTTAATTGCAAACCTTTATATTCCCTTATTATTTTTTAAAGTTGGTGTTTGTTTCTGTTTCTTAGTAGAACAGACCATTACCTGGTAACACAACAGTCAAATCAATTGAATGCTACTAAAATTGTTTGATTACTCATTTCTTTATTATCTACTATAATTTATCCTTTTGCCCCCTATAACTTCTTTCTACTGAAATTTTGTTACCTAGTACTTTAAAAAATATCATAAGCTACAAAGAGTGATCAGAAAATATATTTAAAGATCAAGCTAAAGACTTCTGATAAAATGCTTAATTAGATTCCAGTCTATGGATGTTATAGTCTAGGAAGTATCTAATTACCTGCTTTTTAAAACATTAAATAAAATTTTGATCTCTTAAATGTGTGCAAGAATCACACTCAAATCAAGAAAAAGGAAGAATATGACTCAGAAAAATTATAGATTATATATTTCAGAATTGCTCTTCTTACAAAATATATTTTGAAGTCCACATGTATTTTTATCTATTCTAAATTTTTCAATGCACTGAGTATTTTTTTTATTTCACAACTATCTTCATCCTCTAAAACTAAACCTGCTTTAAAAGCTACAATTAAACACAAATAATCAAAATTCTAAAATAGACTGCTTTGTATAAATAATGATACATTTTTAAATTGAATTTCAACTCCCCTTTGCTTTCGCTCAGTAAAGGCTTACCAGTCTATGAACAGTTAACATTTCCTTGACAGAGAATGTTCCCTTAAATTCTTTGTTTCTTCAGTGATTAACAAAATGGAAAGAAAGCAAAACTTCAAGCAGGTTTGCTAAGCTTTCAAATAGCTTTTTATTCTAGCTTTGCTCTGTTTCTAGTATCAACATTTGTTATCTGAATTTTCCCTCCTTGTCATGAAAAAAATGCAAATACCCTTGAAATAGCAAGCTGTTTGTATCTGGTATTATGTTTTTCAAGAGAAACCACAGAAGAGCCTTAAGCATATAGAGGTAGGACTTGATTAGACAAGAGGATATGCAGATTTGTATATCACAGTTTTTAATAAAAAGTGGAGAAATGGTGCTTGCTGTGGTAAGTCAAAAAGACCAGAAATGGGCTTTTGGAATTTGATGTGTACTGATGTAGCAAACACTAAGAACAGCCTGTGCCTGGCTTTATCTTCAGTTTAGTTAGTATTTTAATTAATGCATGTATTTTACCCTTTTCCTTGCTGAAGATTAAGTTAAAATTTAAAGATTTGTCATTTGTTTTTTAATACCTTCTTAAATTCCCTGAAATAACTTACATACGTAATAACTAGATTGTGTATGGCTCTATGCATATAGTCCATAGAAACCAATGATTTCAGTTGGAACAAATTTTTTCTTTGCAAAGAAAAATTAATTTTAAATAAACTGTAGTTGAAAACTAACAAAATAAAATAAATATAAGGATTATGTTTTATATCTTTTAAATTAATTAAATTACAATTTTACTACAACTCACTAACAGAAATAGTCATAATTTAAATCAGTCATTATCAACTTTCTTAAGGCTGCAACCCTTTAATATTGGTCCCCATGTTGTCATAAAATTACTTCATTGCTAATTTCCCACTGTAATTTTGTTAGTGTCATGAATTATTATGCATATATCTGATAGTCATGATGTCTGATATGAGACACCAAAAGGGATTAAGACCCAGGATGGAGAACTACTGTTTTAATTAAAATCAGTAACTACTATGTAAACATAAAGTTCGTATTTTTCAAGCTACATAATAACAAAGCCAATGAAGAAAAAAGTCTCACAAGTAAGTTTTGGGTCATTACTTAGTCTACAATCAGTTCATGTTATTTATCATCTGCCTTCTCAAAACTCAATGTCTGATATTAAATGGTCACAAAATAATCTGTGAAAACTATATGGATTTAAGGTTGATGTACTATAAAAACTGTGGTAATGAAGTAGATTATAGAAGCAAAACTAATAACTCTAAGTCATTTAATAAGTTCACAAATACATTAATGTCTTATAATTTATTGATTAATTTTATCTCCAATAATCAAAGCAGCTAAAACAAATTCATACAAACAACTTAAGAAGATTTAATTTAAATCATGCAATTGAAATAGTATATGAAGTTTATATAGGATCATGTGGAAGTATTTATTTTTAAAAAGTAAACATTCATTGGTTATTTATTTAAAAACAACAAATCACTTTTTAAAAAATTATTGAAACTCTATATAAACAGATTATATAAAAATTAAAATATATACTAACAGGCTTGAAAAATAAAAGTATACAAATGAATAATCAGCAAACAATAAGCACCTCCACTCAAGCAATTCTGTATATGATATGTCTTTCTTATTTCATATTCACCAATATAGTAGCTGAATAAAATAGATTATTAAACGTTTTTTCTAATATTATTAAGTTGAATAATGAGCCTATCATTAAGGTACACATGGCTAAATTTCCTAATGTGGATTTTATCAACTCACAGACTAATACTTATTAATATTACTTTGAAATAAATTCAAATGTAAATTCCATTGAAATCTTGGCTTACTATCCATAATAGTAAGTCACACTGACTTCATTTTTAGAGTTTAAGTTTTATTTATATGAGAAAATTTAAATACTAATAGTGTTAAATCACACCTAATGATGGCCATCACGACATCGTCACCACTATGACAACGTGGAATGAACTGGTTAGCCTTTGATGATGCTTCTTTGTATCAATTAAATCTATTGTGTTTGCTTTTACAATTTTTATCTGCTACTTACCTAGCCAAACTGCTCATCATTAACTTGGTTATGCTTCGTTTGCTGTGTTTTAAATCACTGTGAACTCAACTATGAAAATGAGGAATTAACCATGCCATAGCCTGGATGCTGTGCTGTATTCCAGTCAACTCACAAACTAAGCTGAAACCAACTGAATATGGAACCATGATCTTTGCACTAAAATCACTGCTTTTGTGTTAATGGGCTGAGAGTGCATACTGTTTTAAAGTCTATCTTTAATAACATGTACAATAACTTCATGATAAAGAAAATTCTCCAGAAAACATGAAGAAAGCAGATAGCATTGGCAAATTAATACAGACATTTGTACCTGGTTACCAATGTAGTAAAGACTACCTTCAGAGCTTCTATCTTGCTGTAACAAATTATTGGTGTCTATACAAGCTTCTAATGTTGTTGTAAAATTTCCTCTTGTTAATTGAAAAGCTGTAATATATTTTGCAGATTTGTGAAGCTGGAAATCATTTTATCAATACAGTGTTGGCTCATCCAAACCACACAGGTTAGTTCTATATTCATCCAACTCTTCCAACTTGTTTTATACTTAATACTTTTTCTCACACTGCAGACCTAGGGACTTGTCAGAAAGGCTGTAAATTGATGAAACCCTTGCCACCTATGAAGGTTAGGAAGGAAAATGAGGGTGATCTTTCAAAACTTAAACTTATCTTTTGGAATGTGTATACTTTCAGATTATGTAACTTTTTCACACCATCCTCCATTCCTACCTTCTGACTAATTACTCCCAGGACCTCAGATAACATTTCCCTCTCATCTTCATGTTCTCATTTTACATTTTTTTCTTTTGGTCAGCCTATTTGCTGTCTGGAAGCTTCTTGTACCTTTATAGACATGATTTTCTTTCAGCTGGGAAAGTTTTCTTCTATGATTTTATTTAATATTTGTTTCTCAGCCTTTTACCTGGAGTTCTTCCCCTTCTTGTAACTCTATTATTCTCAGTTTTTAATATTTTCATGATGCCCAGATTTCCTGGATGTTTTGTAACATTTTCTTTTACTCATACGTCTATTTTCTCTATTGTATCTTCAAAGCCTAAGATTCTTCTTCCATCTCTTTTTGTTGTTGTTGTTGTTGATGCTTGTGTCTGTAGCTCCTGTTCACTCACCCAGATTTTACATTTCCAGAATTTCATTGGTTTGTATTTTCTTTATTGTTTCTATTTCAGTTTTCAAGTCTTGAACCAAATCCATCACCTGTTTGAGTTTTNTTTTTTTTTTTTTTTTTTTTTTTTTTACAGGATTTATTGATTTCTTCCAATTTTTGTTTGTCTTTTCCTCGACTTCTTTTAGGGACTTTTTAATTTTCCCTTTAAGAGTTTCTGTCATCTTCATAGAGCGATTTTTAGGTTGTTTTCTTCTGTTCCAGCTGCATTGGAATGTTCAGATTTTGCTATTGTAGGATCACTTGATCTGGTGGCACCGCATCGCTCTTTCAGTTGTTGACCATATTCTTACACCGACATTTACTCATCTTATGTGGCATGTGCCTATGCTTTTCTTCCAACTGTTATGGTTTGCTCCTGTGCCTATACAGTCTGCTGGGGTTATGGGGGAAGACTGGTCATGGAGAGGATGTTCACGGGCATGGGGTTGGGTGGCAGAGTTAGTCTTGGAGGGAAGGAATCCAGTGGGTAACAGTGGTTTGGGTTCTACCTAAAGGCAGTTCTCTCACAAGTGTACAGGCTGTTGAGAACAGCAACAGAACAGTGGAATTCCACCAGAGGGGAGCAGGGTCTAGCTGCCTTGCTGATGTTGTGATAGGAGGGGAAGGGGCATAGGATGTACCCTGGGGTTGAATTAAGCTGGACGTTGGGACAGTCCAGCTGAGAGTCCTGTCACTAATCTTATTTCCCAGCTCATCTGATTTTCACCTGTGCCTACATAGTTTGCTGGGGTTGCAAGAAAGGACTGGCCAGGAAGGAGGATGTTTAGATACTTGGGTTTGGGTGGCAGAGTAGGTCTGGGTGGGACAATTTCTGGCGGGGGGGGGGGGG